ATACAATACGATGTACAATAATTTCAGGATTAAGTTTATTGTTCTTCTCTTTTACTATCTTAAATACATTTGCTGAAAAATGTGCAAAAGTAAGCCATTCACCTAATATCTCCGGAAATCTGCACAAATAGAAAGGATTTATCCACCTTCCTGTCAAAAACATTACCGATGCCGTAATTGATGGACCAGTCGACAGTCGTAGAGCGTGTTAAGCAACGAAGAAGGCAAGTGGCGACGTGACCGCTGATTTTGGCCATCGCTAGACGGCCACAAGAGCCTTGGGACCCAGTTTCCGAAGGACCCGCCCTTGGAGGAGGAGGCAGAAGACGCCGTGGAGGCTACGGCGAGTGAGGCAACCGTGGCGGCGCGGAAATTGTGCGCGGGGAATTCGGTGTGGAGGCCATCGGCGGTTATGAAGTAGAGCCACTTCACATTCGGCCAGTATTCCAGCTGCCGACGGAAGCGTTGGGTCAAATTGTGGCCCGGATTGAAGGCCGACACGGGCAGGTCAAAGGGGATCAGGTCACAGCATTTGAGACGTGACACTCGAGTACCGTAAAGGGCCTCGTACCTGAAGGCAGAAGAAACCACACGGATCAAGGCATTAAGAAGTTACGCACTAATGTCAGAAAGAAAATAAGTACAATAATTGCAGACAAACATTGCAATATGTTACTTTACTATCGTGATTTCAAAAACAATAAGCTAAGGAGCTTATGGCTTGCCTTGGGATAACTGCTCTTGTACACAAATCTGTCACAATTGTAAAAAAAGACGTAGTATAATTAAAGCTATATAAAAAATTGGCAAGCGAAGACAAATAAAACAATCCACGGTGTGGATTAATTGTAGTGATCCCGAACAATCCAATGCAATGTGTCCTAGCCGCATCATATTGCATTTACTACCTAGGAGTTATTTTACTGTGTATTACAGCTATCATGTCATTTGTGTCGGTCCGTTGTTTCTCTGCTCAGGTCAGATACTAGTTTCAATACATGGCTTATCGCATCTAGAAGACTAGATCCATTTGAGGATGACTATCACAACACGGAATGTAAATCCAAGTTGGCAGATAAATAAGTACCGTAGATCGCGTTCGGAAAGATTGCAGCAATCGAAGCGCGGGTTGAGTGGAGACTTTTTATGTTCCCTGTAGAGCTGTGTCACCAGACTTTTGGGATTTGACACAAGGTGGCCATAGTGGCGAAGTCGCAGTGAGAGCTGATCAACAAGCTGAATAAAAAAAGACGCAAAATATGCTAATTCAAAATCGCCGCATGACAGCAAAAGCCTTTACAATGAACTGGCAGACGACAAATCATCACTAGGTAAATAGTAAATAGTTAAAAGAGAAGTCGCACCGCATCAAGATCCGCTTGAAGAGAATTTTCCGGCATCGGCTCATATTCTAGTCTGTCAAAAGCGGCCTGCATTGTCATTGTGCCAAGTTCATCTCGCGCCATTTTTTGAAATTCCTCCGCGAGTCGCGACGCACTCGATGTAATGTCAATGTAGGGCGCCCCATTTCGCTGATGCTTCGGCTTGCAAACAGGAAAGAATAACATTGAGAAGCTTGTTGGCAATACGCAGTAGAAGCGTTTTAGAACACAGGTAAATTAATAACAAATAAAGACAATATCGGACAATTTCATTTGGGTGAGACTTAATCACAGATTTAGACAGAATATGTAGCAGAATAAATTTGTAGCGATTGGTTTTCATGCATCCGTTATTTACAAAAATATCCAATTTTAATATGGAAGGAGATAAAGATATCCCAAAAGCTGAAAAATACAGTTAGATTTGAATTTTGTGGGTATACGTGATCGAATCGATAGATTATTATTGCAACAACACGCATGGCCAGTTCTAAATCTCGAACAATTCCCAAAGGAAAAAGCTAATGCAATATTTGCATTTACATAGTTTATTGACCGTGCAAATATTAAGTGGATATGTTCATCCAATACCAAGCTACAAAAACATGACAGATGAAGAAAAATGCAGATACATTCATTATCGAGGTAAAAGATACGTTAAACTACTAGAAAAAAATCTAGTAGACTTACCAATTTGGCTCTTTCGTGTGAAGATTTTGAACTGGTCTACAAGATAAGAAAAATCTAGGGCCTTGACAATTGTTCATTGTTTGCTATGAGAAAAGCACATAAGACCTCAAAAAAGGACAAATGCGCATATAAATTTTTGATTTAAGGCATAACATAACGCACCTGAGACAGGTCATCGGATAATTTATCGAATTGAAAGTTCTCGAGGTGGACGCAATGGAAACACCACAAAATTAAGCAGAGAAGTGTTGCAAAGCAAGGAAACATGGTCCAAGAGATAAGACAACCCTTATTTAATCAACTCAAAGAATGTGGTTAATAAAGTCGCGGGACAAACTGAAGTAATTCTACGGGACATCCCTTCGGACCCTTGATTGGCCATGATGAATTTGTTCATTGTTTCCCAAAATTATTTTACTGCAATAAACAAAGTAAGGTCACCATAATAATAAAGGTGGTTGCACTGGCTTGACTTTTTTGTCATGATCCCTAATATTTGATCATACTTAACTTTGTTAAATAACCTAGTTACCATAATTGATGCCATGATGTAAGCTCTAGCTCTGAGTTTTCTTTGAATATAAAACCTGTTTTCGCAAACAAATAAAAACCCATTAACATGGCGTCAGGTGATCTTTATACCTTTCAATTTTTATCTGATTTGGTGGTCACTGGTATCTTAACATAAAGATAGATCTCGGACCTAGAATAAATGGAAGACCTGCATGATCTTCAACTTATGAACTCTAAGCTTTAAACATCAGGGCGTCTAAAGTTCAAAAGGTTAAGCATTGGGGAGGTCTATAAATTTCGAAAGGTTTATAAGGAGAACTGTGTGGAAAGTGGAGTTCATGATCATCTTCTTAGACAAATTACGTGGTTTAATTATCCTTTCTCCTAAAAACCGATTTTAAATTCAACGGTCAAGCCGCTTGAAGCCGATTTACTTTACGATGCAAAGTTGCGCTGCATTCATCATATCTACCTTTAGGAATTAGTTCTGACTGGATAGTAGCCATCGGCCTTCGCCTGGTGGGGTGTTGCAATTGCATGTCTTATTTCTCTCACACATAATTTCAAATCTTCGATACCCAAAGTAGAGATGGATAAAACTGAGTCTGAAAAATATTAATTCATTTATTCTAACTTAAGCTACTTGAAAAATGGAAAGCAAATAAAAATTTTGCTGCATTGTAAGCCTTAAACACTTCTATTTATTGAAGTAACATTCCCACGTCCACCACTGAAGTGTGAGTCAACGTTTGATTGGCAATAATAGAAGTGCATCTTCTTGGCAAGCATGCCTGCACATGCTTGCTTGCGTTTCCTGACAAGTTAAGTAATTAATGGCCTAGTAACAACCCGAGAATAGAAGAGAGATACTATAACGGATGCAAAATTTAACTAGCGCCACGTTGGCTATGTCTATCTTTGTGTGCTGATGTGTGGGCGGGCGTAGCAGACGATTGATAACAGCAGTTGATAAAAATACGAATGAGTCCCCGATATCAATAGGTCTATGAACAAGCCCCACGTACGGGTGTTCGCTGACAGCCTACTGCATGCCCTCCCATTCTTGTCTTTGTTCCGTGGCAGCCTTCTGTGATCTCTTTAATTATTCTCTTCTTCTTTCAATCATTCTTCGGTTTCAGAAAAGAGTTCGTACCGACGATCGTCTCACTTTACTTATTCATACCTAGTACATTAATTTCTTTTCAGAATATACGACGAAAGAGAGTAAGTTGAATCTGCTGATTTAGTTCTTGTGTCATGTCACTCTTAGTCACTTTGGATGAATTTGCTAACTCTTAAAACCACCCTGTCCTTGTTAGCTTTTATTTGGCTCACACATTACAAGTTATGACTGTGACGAGCTTGTCAACACTGAAGAATTCCTTAGCTCAAGTGCGAAGAAGACAGGTACAACAGAGTAGGCTTTTGACCAGCCACAAGCCAAAGCCGCCCATCAGGCGCCATCCGCTCGAGTCTACAATGTCGGCTGCAAAGTCCATTACACTGAGCTTCCTACTAGGCTATTCAAGCGCACGCTGACTGAGGATTGGTTGATTTTAGCGTGATCAAATAAATCTGCGCTAGTGTATGACATTAAAGCATTTATTCCGAGTTAAGATGACCTTTAATCCAAATACAGTGAATCATAGCTGTAGCTAAAAAAACAGATCCCAAAACGTTCTTCGTGGTTAAAACAAAACAACTAGTAATAAAGAATCCCTGCAGATTGAACCATAGGCTTTTTTAACTTCCTTCATTGCTCAAAATTTGAAAAAAAAATCATTTTAAGTGCATGTAGCGTTTTCAAACAGTTTCTGATTCAACTTTGAAAACAAAATATGTTTGAAACTAACACCTAATAACATACTTTATGAATTTACTTAGATAAGAGGCAGTTACATTAAATCATCCATCATAAAGTGAAAAGTGAATTATCAAACATTTATTATTTCAGCTCAACATTAGAGCTTTTGCTTCCGATGTCGTACGTAACTTAGTTTCTACAAAATTTGCTCTTATAATTTGCCCAAATATCAAAATGACTTTAAGATTTGGGAATGAAGGCTGACTCGAAAAAAATTGTCTTACTTGGCCCGCTTTTATTCGAAAGCAGCAGTGATTTTTGCGTCCAGGTGTAAAGTTTGTTATGTAGTGACTAGAGGATTTAGCACTACCTCACAACCCTCTAGTTAACAGCCCGTAGATACCCGAGGATAGGAAAAAGGAGGCGACAGAGAACACGACCGGTTATTAGAGTCGAACCAGCCAAGTGGCTCTGTGTGCGTATGAGTACGCGTGCGTAACAGGCGAATGCTGACAAAAATCAATAACAAAGGGGATGAGTCATCGCTACACACGGGTCTTCGTGCACGCACACTCGCGCGGGGCGGCTGTCAGTCCACTACAGTTATTAGGCTACAAGGGGAGCAGAATCCGAATGACGACAATGAGGCAAAATGCTAGCGCCCAATCCTTAATTCGAACTGCGGCATTGCAGCCGTCTCGATCCTGGCAATAGCAGACCTCATGATACACACCCTGATCGTCAAACCAATAGCGACATCCTTTCGCCACTCCTAAAATCAAAAAAAAATCACACGTGACATTCTCCCCGTCTTCACTGTGGTAAACACCACAAGGATAGTGAAAATTCCTTATTTTGTGACCAAAGCCTTAGATTGAACTGTTGTAGTGTGTATTCTAGGTTTGTGAAGATGAAATCTCAAAGAGTGAGTTGGAAGCAATTGTAGGCATGTTGACATCATTCAAAAATATCTCAAGGTTTCTGAATACATTTGAATAGAAGGCATTCGTTTTTACGGATTATTTTTGCACTTTATAGCAACATATATTCAGAATGTGTAGAAGATGAATGTTGAATTCCTTTAAGTACAAAATGTCACACGTGTTTGATTTAAGCATCTACAGATAACGCCAGAATTACTTCCACAGATAGAATGATGTCGCTGGAGTTTATTTATTAAACCGAGGTCGTTTAAATGCCGGAGAGAAAACCCACCGTAGTCAGTTCGTGCGGCGCACCGGCGAGTGATTTTGATCCACCCGAACCATCCCGTGCTTTCTTGGTAAATTTTGACGCAGAAGGTCCCAGGAACGCGGGCCTGGAAGCTGCCGCAGTCAACCAGCGCATTCAGACGCGGTTCGAAGTGCCGACTGGCGGGACACGTGTCGTCCTCGTTGCTGTCACACTGGTAGCACAAGATACCTCTACCTGGTTTACACAAGCAAGACATCAAGCCGTAACTGAAAGCTCTCGTAGTTATTTTCAACACTTAGATACACGCATTGAGATGCAAATGTTTTCTATTAAAGGTATTGTGAATCTAAAGAAATGAGTAAAATAGCTTGGGATCTGGGTTACGACAGGGGATCAATAAGAGGTATACCTGTTGACAATTTATCTGAAGAAAGAAATTGAAGAGAAGACACCACTAGTAAATACTTTATTTATCTCTCGATTTAAACTCTACAAATAGTCAACACTCAACTCGACGCAAAATACGGTTTTAAGCCCGTTGTGAGTCATTTTCGGTGCCTGGCCATGGCTAAGCATTACCTTTAACCTTTAGCGTCCAATGATTAGAATTTAGCAAATTTGATTTGTACAATCTGGAGACAGTATGAGTCGTTAGTGGTGTGTTGTAAATCGTGTTTATTCAACCCCCTAATCCGGTCGCTCCACCTCCGACTCAGGGCTCCCCTTGTCGCAGCCTGTGCCAGCCGCGCGGATCCTCAACCCCCCCTTTATTAGCACGAATATTTATCTTGGAGCATCCCCACACATGGGTCTCGATGTTAGCGCATGTATGACTCACACATCCGAGGTACTAAAAATCCTTAAATGCAATGTCAGCTATGCATATTCACTTTGCACTAGGGCATTTATCCTAGAACAAGTGGAGAAGTGCTTAAAATATCACTAAACAAATCTAAACCGCATCATTTGCAAAACAAAGTACTTTTACCAAGTAAAGTCGATCGTCTGTTGACAAAAAGTGCACTACCGTAGATCAAAAATCAATACTCTTTATCGAACCAGGAATTAGCCACAGTCAGTTCCACTATTAAATTCCTTATCTGTGCAGTAAGTTTATTTACATTGGATAACATGGAAATTGTGTGTATTTAAGGAAAAATTTGGCCATTATCAGGGCTCATTACGTCACTCCGGTAAGCAAAATGAAAGTGCCTCTAACTGTGTGATACGAGTCAGCGGTCACTTTCCGTGGAACGCTCTTCTAACCAGTGCTCCTGCTCAACTTCTAGTTCCATGACCTAAAGTGGCTTTTCACTTTGGCAAAAAAATGACAATCGAAGGGAGTTTTGGAAGACGTATGTAATTTCTTCTAGGGGGTTCAATAAAACGCCATACCAAAGAAGCAATCATCAAAAGACTTAAACTCTTGGTATCTATAAAAACCTGAATAGGTTGCGATGCCCAAAAATCGATAGTATAGAACAATTTTGAAGATCGTCCAAATGGAAGTGTCATACCTGTGTGCAAATGGGCTGTTAGAAGGACCAGCACGTGTACGAGCGAATGCATAATTGACACCAATCGGATTAATTTCACAGCCGGTCACACTGTCGCGTCAACTTGGCGCTTTCTGTTTATACTCGCAGTGGCCGCCGTCGTTTATTGGTCGCGCGGGCCTCCGCCACCTGCGCCTCTAGCGTGAAGGCTATTGTCATATTGTGCCATTCTTATTTTAACACGTCAGTTTTTTTCCCAAATTGGTTGAATTTAGTCGCAATGAAATAGTAGGCCTTGAACCACGCCGGGGCCACTGAGTCAATCCAACCCGTTTACGTTACCCAGAGTGCCCGCAAAGATGAAGGAGACGGGGGAGGACGAGGCACAACCGCTTGCTAGACAGAGCAGGAAGTTGTGTTAACTGATACAGTTGAGTGAACTGGTAAGAATGCGGCAGTCTGAATGATCACGTGGATGGAGCGGGAGGTGGTGGCACGCGCAGAGCAAGCGAAATTATTATTTAAAATTGCTATTTAAATCATTTAAGCACAACTATTGTTGCCGGAATTGATCACTTTCCAGTATACCAAAATACACGCCCAACTGCTTCCTTTACCTCCGGCCTTTGCTAAACCGAGAAAAATACGACTAATGACCATGTTCTTCGTTTATTGGCCGCGCAGGCCACGGTCACCTGCGCCTCTAGCATGAAGGTTATTGTTATATTGTGCCATTTTTACTTTAACACGTCAGTTTTTCCTAAATTGGTTGAAGTTAGTCGTGGTAAAATAGTGGACCTTGAACCACGCCGGGGCCACTGCGTCAATCTAGCCCGATTACGTTACCCTGAGTGCACGTGAAGAGGAAGGAGACCGGGGAGGACGAGGCACAACCGTTTACTAGACAGATCAACCAATTAGCGTTTTGCTGACTGATGCAGTTGAGTGGGCTAGTAAAAAAACTGACGTCTGAATGGTCGCGTAGATAAAGCAGGCGGAATCGCGTGACTGACGGATATGCCTTGAAAAGGGTGTTGTGTCTGACGACCGGGTTATTGGATGTGAATCAACACCATTCTCTACAGTTTAAACGGTCTCTGTTAGGAATTTCGATTTCTAAGAGCACTGTGGATTGCAGTTTTTTTAGAGCAGGTCATTTTGCTATTTTGCCAAACCGGAACATCTATCCAGATGTGAATGTGTGCAACAAGAGACGCGTCACAGGGGATTTTTAATCGCATCTAATCAAGCATCTCCACATTCCAACGCCCTTCTTTCTCTTATTATTTTCCTGGAGCTTTTCAAACGGCCCGGTAGTAGACCCCGTGGCTTTGCACTGGCGTCAGCCTTGGGTAGGAGCGTTTCATTTTGCTTGCATTCTACTTTTCCCGATTTGGTTCAAGGCATGCCTAAATAATGCTAAATCCTTTATCCTGAGGATTATAACAGAAACGGATAATTAATGCTACTGATGCATATTAGTAGATAGTTTAAAACGTGTGAGCGTTAATTGGCATTAAATAATTGAAATACACGAAGCACGACCGTGTTTTCATTGGCATGTACACCGAAGACTGTTGATTTAGAAATATCATGAGTAAGAAAACACGGCCAACAAATATTGCTTATTTAAATAACTGAACACAGCATCGAAAAATTGGAAAAATGAATTTGAAGGCGGAAGTGTGTTCGCGTTGAATTAAACAACATGTATGATCATGTTAGAAATTTTTATTTAAAATTGCTACTTAAATCATTTAAGCACTACTATTGTTTCCGGAGTTGATCACTATCCAGTATACCAAAATTCACGCCCAACTGCTTCCTTTAACTCCGGCCTTTGCTAAACCCAGAAAAATACAACTGATTGCCATGTTCTTTGTACTTTTAAGCAGCACATCCACACGTAGGTTAAATAATGGTAGGAAGCATGTGCAAAAAGTATCATTCATTATGGAAAAAAATTGCTTTCAAATGACTCATTATAATTTGCTGTCTTGAGATCCGAGATGTTCAGGAATATGTGAGCCTAGTGGGCATGGCTACTGACCAATCATGTGGCGCGGTGTTTGAAGGAGCGTTTTGTCCACAAATGCATACGAATGAATCGCCTTTTGGAAAGATGATCTCACACTGTCGCTGGATCCCGTACACGATCTGAGGATCAGTTAATAGCCATTCCTTGATCCCAGCCCATGTGAAGTTGAAGAGCCGATGGGCTTCAGGAAGCCAAACAAATCCAACACAAACCCTCCCCTAGTAAATTTTGGCTTGAAGGGTAATAACATGCAAGTTGAATTTTTTCCTAATGCATTATTTATTAAAATAAACGTGCGTTAAATGGCTTAGGTGCCGACAACATCTAATTGCTGATTGCGCCTTTCAGTGCGATTTCTGTCCTATTATGAGCTGTCATTTGCATTTCAAAGTCCATAATTAGCCTCTTATCTGATCCTAGTGGGAATGACTACTTGTTCCTTGAAGCATTTCTCATTTCTCAAAATTTTACAGGAGTGCTCGAATCGATTGAAGAATTCTCCCAACCTTTGTGATGACGACAAACTGCACATTTCAGTGACACAGTTGTTGCCTTGTAAGAGTTTTAAATGTTTGCTAGTTTAACTCATACTGAAACCGATCGGATCAGTTTTCACCAATCAAGTCAACAGAATTCCTGTAATTAACAATCTGACCAGTCATCGGAATGATTTAGTCTTCAAATTTAAATGGCTGCTTTTAAAGCAGTGAAAGTTGAAACTTCACAATCGTCGTTCGGCCCAATCACTCACTAAGAGGTAGTTTGTTTGAATTAATGTGTTCTTTGTTTCTCAACATTAAATAAAACATAAAACTTTGCTAAGTTTATGGAAATGAATAATAAGTGTTACTGATGCATATTAGTACGTAGTTTAAAACATGCGAGCATTCGCTGGCACCAAATAATTGAAATACGCGAAGATCGGCTTTATTGTCAATTGACTGACCGCAGTGAGACTGTTGATTTAGAAACAATTTAAGTAAGAAACCATTGCCAACAAATATTGCTTATTTAAATAACTGAACACAGCACCGAAAAATTGGAAAAATGAATTTGAAGGAGGAAGTATGTTCGCGTTGAATTAAACAGTGTGGATGACCACGCCAGAAAATTGTATTTAAAATCACTACCTACAACCATTTTAGTACCAATAATTTTGGTGCCACGCATTTCAGTGTTCCTAACTTGCCCGCCTGAGGCAACTGCAGTAAGACTATGCAATGGGTTGAAATTCATTCATAAATTACAAAATCGATTTGACCAAATTGACAATTTTCCAGTATACGAAGGTACAAGCCCAACGTCTTCCTTTACGTCTGGTTTTTGCTCAACCCAGAAAAATACGACTAATTTCCATGTTCTTCGCATTTTTTCAGCAGCACAGTCGGAGGTAGGTTGAGTAATGGGAGGAAGCAAACTGCCTATTTCAGTGACGCAGTTGTTGTAAGTTGGATAGACAAGTCTAGAGCACTTACCACACTCATTCGAAGGGTCGTCTTGTAAGAGTTTAAATGCTTGCCAATTTCACTAATCGAGTCGCCAGAATTTCTGAAATTAACAATCTGACCAGTCATCTGAATGATCTAGTCTTCGAATTCAACTGGCTGTATTTAACGAAATCAGAGCTAAACCTTCACAACCTCCGTCCGGCCCAATTACTCACTAAGAGGTAGCTGGCTTGAATTAATATGTGCTTTGTTTCTCAACACCGAATGGCAACGAATAATTAATGCTACTGATACATATTAGTAGCCAGTTTAAAACTTGTTAGCATTAAGTGGCACCAAATAATTGAAGTACACGAAGATCGACTTTATTCCCAATGAACCGAATCATTGTGACCGCAGTGCGACTGTTGATTCAGAAATATCACAAGTAAGAAAACACGGCCATCAAATATTGCTTACTTAAATAACTGAACGCAGCACCAAAAAAATGAATTTGAAGGCGAAAATGTAATGGCATTGAATGAAACAGTACAGATGACCTTGCCAGAATTTATTATTTAAAATTGCTACTTAAATCATTTAAGCGCTAGCATTAATTGTTGTCGAAAATTCGTGAATAAATTTCAAAATCGATTTGCCCAAACTGATCACTTTCCAGTAGCCTCTTATCAGATCCTAGTGGAAATGGCTACTTGTTCATTGAAGCATTACTAATTCCTCAAAATTTTACACCAAACTAAACTCCAACACCGCCTAAGAGATTAAAGCATCACTCCATAGATTATTTTGACGAAACCAAACTAAAGTACACAAGAACGACGTCTCAGCCTACTAAGATAATATTTTAAAAAAAGGCGTTCAGCAATAGACTCTATTCTGCTACTCGATTTGTTATAATCCAAATATTGTCAAAAAATTTAAGGACTTATGAGGTTGGATCAAGAAATACAGCTGGTACGAACAGAGTAAATCGCCTCAAGCAGAAATTGCTGCATCAAAAGTACTTTAAGGGCCCCTAAACTGATCCCAGTAGAAAAGTAAGCGGGAAGTAAGCAACTTGACTTTTATTTTGCATCAAGTAATATAAAGATACAAACACGGTGCTTATGGGATAGTTGCCAGGTAGTCTTTAATTTCAGAAGGTTGCAGAATGCGGAATCCCTTATCGTTGCAGACAGCAATCTCGATGTTCTTCTCCGTCATTTGTCCTTCGAAGCTTTCCTTCAAAGTAAGAATTGCCGCGTGAACTGCGTCCTCCAATTCCAGCTTGTCGTTATAACTAAAACGCAAACAAGAAAAGACAGGTGTTAAGGAACACGCTATCTTGCCAACTTACGAACAGCAGTCAACGACTAAGTTGAATGTGCTTGTATCGGTTAGAAGACTTTAAACGATTGACAATTATAAAGAACAAGACTAATGCTTTAAGATAACTGTTCAGTTAATGGTAGTTAAAATGAAATTGGGCTGCGGGAAATCGACGCAAAGCTAATCGGAAATTTAGTAATATATAAAGAAAGCCAACTTTGGCTACCGAATTTGGCTGATATCAAAAAAAAGGAGAACAAACGATGCATTTAAGCAAGATGTAGTAATAGAGGATTGCCGACTTCAGTGATTTAAAGTAGAATTCTGTATTATAGTAAGGAAATTGCTTAGGTTTACTTGAAAGTTAAACAAATGAAGTGCACATAAAACCAGGACGAAGAAATTGGATTTACCGTTTCTCCAAGAAATTTTTGCCATTCATTGAGTTTTTACCCAAAGCAGTAGCCTTCCATGGGAAGTAGGTGCCCTAAATCAGGAAAAAATGAAATGGCGTGTGGCATGGATTCGCTAATTCTAACAGAGATGGCTTTGATGAAAGAATCATTTGATCAGGTCGTATGGAAATGTAAAGATGACAATCCAGAAAGATAGTACGATTACTACGATACTATAAAAATAGCGATTAAGATGTTAGATTGGAAAGCCAAATGCATAAATATGATCCCTAAATGAGTAATTTCTAAGGAGACGCTTACAGATGGATCACATTGGTAAAGATAGGCGCGGTTGGCATTATGATCCCATCCAGCAACAAGCAGCGAAACACCGAACGGCCGCACGCCTCTTATAAAAACAAACAATACGCAATTGTTATCAATTTGACGCTATGTGTTTTAAGAAAGAATGGGATTAGGAAGTTTGGCAAGCAAATTCTCGTCTGTAGAATCTGTCGATCTAGAAACCAACGTCCAGATAAACTAACTTATGTTGCATCAAACCAATTCAAGCATTGAAAAAAAAATAACTTATGGGAATCCCAGACATGCATAGTTACAGAAGCCATGTCACAGGTTTGTACTATTTTTAACGCTGACCAAAATTCGACCGACATTGACATAATGTAACACGACATATAATTCCTGTGATTAGGGTTTCTAGCATAAATGAAGGAAGCATTGAATAAAATTTTACATACCCTGATTGTGTATATTCTTGCATCACAGAAGCGATGCGCACGACTAGCTGTTCAGGGGAAATGGATTCATCATACGCAAGCTGGTAGGCCTGTGCGGATTTGCGTGCTTGCTTGACTAGAACCCTATAGTCCGGAGAAAGGCCGCTATACACCATTCCGACATTTTTTGTCACCATTTGAATACGGGATATTGTTGATTCGTCAATTAATTCGGTGCCAAATTTCTTTTCGACGGCCAAGACAACACCGTTGGATGCGCGAATACCGACTGAAGGAGCACCACATTCTGCTGCTTTCAATGCATACTCAATTTGAAGCAATTTTCCAGAGGGACTTATAAGAATATACATAAGAAAAAGAGACCAACCTGAAGGTTGTGAGAGAAAAACTGTAACGCTCGGACATGATCAACACTAAGACGATGACAAGGACACAGACTCAAAGATACGGTTCTACTTAGAACGGTTAAAACAAATACCCTTTAGACAGAACACAGGAGCTAAATTCACATGTTTACTCAAGTGATTAAACCGTATCTACATCCATGATCACACGTTTTTGATTTGGATGAGTATAAACTAAAAATATGATAGGTGCCACTAATTTTGTTGAGATCGTAAAAGTATTTGTAAGAAAATATTACTTTCTAGATGTTTTCAAAGTAGATCTTGAGGAACTAACAATGGGAAAAAATTATTAGTCGCAATTGCCCATATAATTGGCTGAAATTTTGAACTGAATGTGTTTTCTTTTCCGTCAAACAAGTAAAATCTGTAAAGTATATTGCTATTGTAGGTATTCAAATAGATGTCCTCCAAATTACCATACGATATATACCCACACACAACACCTTGAATGAATGATGGCAGTTTTACAACGCCTATTACAATACCTTTATCTTTGAATGACATTGATCGTATTAATGTCTTCTGAAACCTACAATTTCAGCATCTACACACATAGCATTTCATTTGCTACTTTAAATTTGCTTCGATTTTATGGCACTCTTTTAAATTATATAAACCATTGAGCATTATTTTTTGTCAATCATATTATGTGAAAGGCATTTTAAGCTTTATCTTGGTTTGGGTGGAGGGCTGCCATGTCCAAAACCGGAATAATTTTTTTTTAATTTGGTGGAAAACTTAACGTGCTGAAGGGTTTCTTAGATTTTAAAGGATATATTTTGGACTAATTAAACTGGTCATTGTTTGAGTCGCTCGAACTCTTTTACTAAATTAGCCATTTGTGATACCTATTAGTTGCTCTGTATTTACTTTTTACAATCTACTCTTCTATGTTTCAAGAAGGAGTTGCATAAATTTATTATAGGCAAAAATAGTTTTACCCAAAAAATTTAGTCTTAGGTAGGAAGTGAATATATACCCGTTTGTTCCAAAGTTCATTAGCAGCAATTTGGGCAGTCTAACAATTGAATGATTATTTGACGACTATGGTTGGCTTCAGTCGGTTATGGGAACTCATCTTATTAGTGTATTTTAGTTAATTTTTTACATCTTTTTAGGACTAAAAAACCCCTACAGGTAGATAGAATGCTACAAACAAACATTTATCACCTGATAACTGAAAATCTTGTATTCGTTTTTAACCGCTAAATTAAACAAATGATAACTTGGAGACACGCCGCAGATCGTAGGAATAATTCGATCAAAGCCACCCAAAAATCCATTTTCAATAATGGCTTCAATCAGAAGTTTTATGCCCAGATCATTAAGGGCCTGGAAGACCAAAGTCATTTTCTAATTTTGAAAGTCAGAAGATTGCCATAAGTTAGTAGAAGTCCAGGAGACGGCCTTTAAATTAATTAAAATCTTTCAAAGTCAAGTTATTACCTATTGCAATTATGCAGCAGCTCTACTGTGCGCCCTTCTTGCTATGCTCATAAGCCAAAGACTGATGGTCAACTTGATGCAATGATGATTTCTAGTGCAGAAATCTAATAGAACTTGTGTGCTTATCTTTCTGTCGTGGAACTCTCATATTCATTTAAGAATGCTGCCGTAGTTTTCTTCATTTACTCGATTTGCTCATTGAATCGCCATTGTTCCACGTATGTTTTATAATGAGTGCTCACAATGTAAGCTAATTCCATTAATTAAATAAGTAATTTTTTTCCGCTGGGATACTTATGATTAATCTGAAAACTTTTGCTGCCCCGTCTGTGACGTCACTCCTTAGTGAATGCTAGCGGCTACTTACTAAAGGTCAATCTTGACGGTCTTTAAAAGATCCTGCACTTTATTATTATACACCATCACGTCGGGGTCACCAATTGTGAGCCCCAGCACGTAGTCTTGAACCACGCCGGGGTCACTGAATTAACTCTGGCTACTTTTAAAAAAATTGACATGTAAAAACGATGAAAGGCAAAGAAGATGCAGGAAGAAATTTGGGAAAAGTTCCGTGGTTAAAAAATGGAAATTTGAAAACATTCGCCTAATGCTCCATGTTAGTCAACACGAAGAACGCATAAGAAACTGAGGAACACATTATCGATAGGATGTCACATACGATGCCATGATCGAAGCAGTCCTTGACAATTGTAATTCATCTTTGAGGGAACCGTGGTAGATATCTCACTACAATTATCGGACTCATCATTCAGAATTCCATCTTTGATTGCCCTGTTCAAATCCTGGTGTTCCACCTTAGTAAAATCATGGATGCCTTGCAATGTGGAATGTTTAGCATTTAAAGATAAGGGCTCATTTATTCCATCCATGGACTCCTTTGGGCAATTTCATTCACAAGCATAGCCCCCCAACCATATTTAGTGAAGTGGATGTGGCACGCTCGTGATTGGCCAATTTTGGAAGCACTTTGCATCCAAGATTATTGATTAGACCACATGGAACGCATGGGCTTAAACACGCGGAAATTTAAAACAGGCTTTATAAGTCTTTTTTTTTCTAATTTCTCTGCCAGAAAATGGCGTGTTTTCAAGAACACATCAAGGCGGCTTACGTATATGCCAGTCTACCCGTAGCCAGGGGAGTCTTGAATACCTACAGAACCGAAGAGTGAGTGGTATTTAGAAATTTGGATTAAATTCCAGCCGGCTAAGTCGATGGTGTATCGTTCGTTCGAAGTATCCAGTGCAACTTAAAAGACATTCAACAAGGTCCTGAAATAGCTATAACCTAGCCAGAATTGCGCTGATCTCATAATTTCTTGCTCAATTTTGTGAACTAAACGCATGACATCTGTTGTAGACTGATTTCATGTTGGACGAAACCTCACCATTATTCTTATATCCAAGCGCACCCCAAACCAAACTTTCAGTAACAAGTGGACGGTTTTTGCTTGGAAATCCTACAAGTCGTGTTAACATTTCTGCCAAATTAAACGACCTAATCGGTGTTATCGTGTTGTGTAGTTAACCGTTGCATGTAAAAAAAATGCGATTTTGTGTTTTTTTTTGGTGGTTTTAGACGACCCACAATAACACTTTTTGATGACGAGGCTGATGGTTCTTCAGCAGGCAGAAGTCACATTAAAAGTGCGACTCCACACAAGGGCAGAATTACGGCAACCAAAAAGCCTCCTGAACCAACGAAAACTCGCGATGCTTCTGACATCACGGAAACTGGTAATTGTGCCTCTCTTTCTCATGGCGCTGTAAATGGACTTTAATACAGCACGCATCCATGCCTGGAGATTTACTTTCGTGTCAAGGTCTCACATATTTAACAAGCTCTGGTGATACATGTGCTTTTGTGTGTGTTGTAAGCAGGGTACATGATAGTTTATTCCCAAATACCTCTAATTGCAATTAAAATCACGGGTTTAGCTAACTTAATTATCCACGAAGTAACACATTTGGGTGTGCACAAACCCAAAAACGAGGGAAATTATCAGCCAAAGTATTGGCAAAATCCCATTTTCAGGTGAAGGATTTTATCGATTTCTAATTAGTTATTTTAAACAGTGTAACAGTAAGTAATGGGTTTCTGAAATAAAGAACGCAGCGTATTTTGCGTGTTTTCAGCAGTCGAATCCAATGGAAGAATAAGCATCTCCACGCAAACGGGACTCTACCTGGAGGAGATTACTGACATTGTCGAGACGGACAATTTCGGCGTCCAGACAGACCAATTTGTCGATCGTCCAACGTCCCCGATCATGTACATAGCCAAAATTGGAATCGACGTAGCCACGCAGATTGAGCCATGGGAGGTGAGTCAATCCACGGGGTGGTTGGGACGCATTCCTGAAATTGATTCCATCTTGCCTTTATTGGCTAGGCTCATCAGTCCTTAAGAGTTGACAGGTTGCATCAAGGGTCACTTGTTAGAAGCACTAAAGTTTCAAAATCACACCACTACAATTTGTGCAAGCACACAATTAGTTGTTTGCTATGAAACTACGCACCCTTCCTAGTGGAATGCTGCAAGACGTCTCAGATTTTCAATGAAGATCTGTGTGAACCGTAGAAGGTAAAGACTAGACCAGAAGAGACTACTTCTGCACACGTATTTATGTACGCGGTGTATACAAAAACCGCAATGGAAGGCAATACGCTAGGTGTTTTCCTGTTGGCGCATAATGATCTCTGATCCAATGGCAACGAGATTGTGTATTGTTGACTAGTCTATGTCTGCCAATTTTTTAAGTGCAATCTACCTAAGATACGACTTCAACCTCCCAAGCGCGCTTCGTCTCAGGAACGTAACGACTCCTTGCATGCAACACGAGATACTCATAAAAGTTTAAGGTGATCAGTGAGGCGGAGAGTAGTGTGAAGTCACGGAAGGTGATGATGATGATAATGGTTAGAGTTGGCGTGAAGGAGTAAGAGTTTTGTGTCCCGCTGACTTGAACTTCTTTACCGTCTTTCAGCTATTTGATTTCGAAATTGAAGTCAGACCTCTGATGGAGGTCTTGCTGAACAAGACGATGGAGCAGGCGTTGATGGAGGTGATAGAGGAGGAGGAACTGGCGGAAATCCGCAAAAAGCAGTTGGCCTTTGAGGAGTTGAGGAACGCTGACCTCGCCGAGGTGGAACGCCTCGAAGAACGCAATCGTAGATTCAGGTCTGGGTGTTTTATTGTGATTTGAGATGACTTGTTTCTTTTAATTACGCGCGGAAGCCTTGTATACCACAAACCAAAATTTAGGTTCATGAACACACGAAAACATTGAAACAAGTGAAGCATTAAATTAGCCATTTATAACTGCAGAAATTGACAAGCACTCTAAGTAGGAAGATGACTGGATTAATCGACAATACAGTGGTTGTGAATCCTGAAAAAGGAATTAAATTATCAAATCACCCAGATGCCAAGATGTAGAAGGTGATTTCCTTCTTGTAAATGCTTATCGATCACCTTGTGAACAGTAACTGTTGAATACCCAAATCCAAAAAGACGATAAGTAACGTTCAACACTGTTTACGAGTAATCCCAAACACCAGAAACCACAATATAGACATTCAACGAATATGCAGGAAGCAATTGCTCATTACACTGTGACCTTGTGGACTGATTCGTCCAGTGAGCAAATGGTAAGTGGCGCTCAGCAAGAATCGGATTTAAAACAACAGATAATTCAAGATTAGCATGATAGATGTCGCACATCTTGTAAGTATTCAGCTAACAGCCGGCGTTATTTCCTAATTTCATTTTACTTTTAAATACAAAATATACTTTTAGTCCAAAAATTGTGTAAGATAATTATGTGGTATCAATTCGACTTGGCACAGGAATGTCTAATTAACTGCCGTGATGAAGTTTGACGTTATGTCGCAGATTAGATTTCTTTAAATTGTTGAAATTACCGCCCAATAATAATGCCAACTTATTATAAAATATTCCACTCGAACAAACTGAAGTTCAGCTTCGCGGGAGTGGTCTTTTGCTGATTCAACACTTAGAGTTAAGAAACAAACCCTCATTATTTCATATTAATGAAAATGAGCAATTTGCAGAAGTTCGATATAATTTGGAAGTTTTTTAAATTGACTTCGTCGACCTAAGGGGGACTGATATTGGCAGGTAGTCTAAGATAGTAGACAGTCTTTATTCCGATCAAAAATTCCATCGATTAAATAGCAAACTGTGCTACAATATGCATTTTCAGCCAATATTTTGGCAAGTGGCATTCTCGAATGGACATCAGTAATTTTTACCGTAATGCAATTTTGAAGGCATGTCTGCTTAACTTATAAAAAACGGACGCATGTTTGACCGTCTCGTTGACGTAAATCACCACAAATGGGTGTTAATGTGAATCGAGCAAGCGCCTTTTTAAAACCAATTGGTTTGTTTTAATTGAGTCCAAACTGCGGCCTCCCTTGTAATGATACTTTAAGAGAAGAGAATGAGAGAAGAATTAAGGAGGCGGAGAAAGCCGCTGTCTTGCGCCAACTGACGGCCGAAAAGATCGCCGCTCGCAGCTTCGTCAAGGCCTACTTGGAGCCGATTTTGCCTAACACGTTTGAGCTCCTCACTGCCCGAGGGTACTTCTACGACAACGTCCAGCAAGGTGAGTTTCCGCGGTGCTGCTAAACGTGTTTTACCATTCCACAGCAACTCCTTGACAATGAATTTGACTAAAGTAATTGGGCCAATGAGTTGCATTGTGTCTGTGTCGAAGTCTTATGCCATGACGGTCAGTTTGGCAGCAGCTTGCTTGGATTTTGAGCACAAAAATCTTAAATTGTTAACGGTGGCGGTGATAACTGACTGATTTGTCGTGAATCCTGTTTATTCGCACCCCCTTACTCCGGTCGCTCCACTTCTGACACCCAGGGTTCCCCTTTTCGCAGCATGTCGCCAGCCACGTGGATCCTCAACTCCCCTTCATTAGCTCGAATACTTGGAGTACCCCCACACCTATGTCTTGGTGTTAGCGCAGTTATGACTCACACATCCGAGGTATAAATATACACGCGCAAACACCACACACGACACAACGACACCAACGTGGTTGACCTCTGAAGTAAACGGTTGTGTCCACGTCCTCTCCAGTCTTTTTCTTCACCGCGGGTACCAGGGAAACGTAATCGAGCCAGAGCTAATTCCGTGGCCCCGGCGTGGTTCAGGAGCACATGCTGGGGCCCACAACAGATTCAACTTAGTCGGGTCTAGTCATCAAATCTAATCAACCAATTAAGTTGAAGACACGTCAAACGATTCTACGCAGGATTTAGATTTTCCCATTCTAACCTTTTATTTTAGAACTTGAGGAATCCTTCGTGACCTCTCTTATGGAGAAAACCGTTAATTTGAATACTCTTGAGTTGCGTGCTCGACTGACTATAGACGGAATTATAAGAGAGGTTAGTACTGCCATTGGTGGTTGTTCTAACTTGCCTATTTATATATTGGCCCATTTTATTAAAATATCCATTGATTTTGTTAATTAACTAAATAATTTACCCCAAGTAGTCTTTTCAATTTATTGCCTGAAATTAGGGAAATTGTCAAAAATAGCCAATCAAAATTTCTCAAAGCTAACTAAAAACTGTACTGTATTTTGTCCGTCAAATTTAGGTAAATAAACTAACACCTAAAGGTTTCGAGAATTGTTGAAAAAGGTCGCCTAAACACCGTCAGTTTGATTCTTGCTGTATAAAGATTCTGAGGCTTCAAGTTGAATGACCTATTAGCATTACCCAACTACACCAGTTTCCATTGGCTACTTGCGTCTAATCACAAAAGTTTTTTTAAATCGTCACCGTGGACGTTTGATTGAAGATTATACAAATATCTAAATGGTTAATTGAGTTAGTCTAGTCATCACGCACCATTACAGTGGCTTTAAATATCAGCATTTTGTAGAATTAATTGCATAAATGCGAGGCTTATTATCGTAATCCAGCAGATGAAGGTTCATTTGGCTTTGTCAGTCGGAATAAAGTTAAGACTCAGATATGATTCCGCGAACTTGAAACCAAAATTTGACGCCATTCCACGACTTCCCTCCAGGCTGTTTTGCAACGCCACGTGGAATACAGGGAACTGGGTCGTGAGCTCATGACGGAGGAGTTGATAACGCGAGTTATACCGGGTCTGCGGACAACTCTCGCACACATGGTTATCAAGCAGCTGATCGGTTTGGCCATCGAGAGGCTGGAGCAGATAGCCGCGGCCAGAAAACGCGTTCTTGCCGAGGTTGTCGGCGAGATACTGGAAGATGCCATCACCACGACCGCGGAAAGGGAGGCCAAGAGGCTGGAGGAACTGGAAGCTCTCGAGGCCGAAATGACGGAGGTAGTGCTGTGCTTTCATGCCCACAGGAGGATTGTCACATGAGCAGTTAGAGTTGTACTCCTCAGTGTAATCATTTTAAAGACGAATTAGTCCACAAAAAACTGCACTTGTGACAAAAATTACTTGCCATAAATGCAGTTTTTAAGCTTGGTTAAGTCCTGAATTAAAGGCGATGGTTAAAAGTGCTTGTGTAAAATGTTTGCTTTCATCCCTTTTTTAGGAGCAATTTGATTGATCAGTGCAAACTTAAGGTGAAGAAGACAGGACGAAGTCTCGGCGCACTGCCTCCGAATACATTACCTTCAAACGAGAGATACTTTATAACTGTTGCTGTGAATAAATTTTGTCCCCGTAAAACGAAGCGTTACTACTCACGCATAATGGGTTTTTGGATGAGGCGGTTTCCTTTTTTATTAAAATATTTACCAATCAGTACTATCCACTGAACTTCCTTAAATAGAGAAGCTAAAATCCCTGTTTGGGTTACAAAGAGGAGGTGTGAGGATAATTCAAGATAAATATCCGTGTGAATGAGGTAGGAGTTAAGAGTACGCACGGCCAGCGACATGCTGTGAAAAGGCGTAGCCTGTGTCCGAGGCTGGGGTGATTGAATTAAGGGGTGTGAATAAACACGCTTCAAAACTAGGTAATCAGATGACAGAAAAATACGACTACCACTCTAGATTGTGGTTCATGCACTGGGAAATTCAGCCATCGCAGACGACTAGTTGAGTTTGCTCAAATCTGCAGGTCGTTAAGTAACCGTCCTTGGCGAGCATAAGCAAAGAGGATTTGCTGGCGATGAGCGTATACGGTTGGCATGGGCGTTTTTTAAAGTACCTATATACGTGGCGAGTTGCCTCTATGTTTTAGGCCAATAGCGACGGTTGAAAATCCCAACATTACGTTTAGCATTGGAATCAACGTTTATTTTTTTTTCAAGTTCAAGCCGACCTCAGCACACTTAGCTTTTGGCTTATAAACTTGAGACGACGAGTCAAAAATGCCTCAAATAACCGATTTTGCGTTTTTTGTCATCCAATCGGGATCGGGCTGTGTGGCTGCGCAGTGAACCGTGGTGATCCACGTGTAGTGGGCCCCGGTGCGGTTTTGGAAACCACACCAGGGCCGGCAATCTGCGTTGACACGGCCCGACCGAAAGAAGGAGTCAAAATTGCTGCTGGCGCGTAGCTCAACCGACTTATTAATGCGGCACCTGTGTGTGTGTGTGTGTGTACAGAATAACGAATGCGTTTGCATGGCTTCGCTAAGTATCGATCGATGAAAGCACGTCGTTGCGTGAGGCGCATTAACGAAAATCGATTGATTTGTGCGCGCTCACGACCGCTAACTGTGGTCGTCTGCTGCTCGCCACACACGTCCACCAATTCGGTCGTCCCAGTCTTCAACACATTGATCCACTCCCCCCGTTCACAGCATGGCGTCGACTACCCATGAGCACGTAAGCCACCGTTTATTCCCACCCGGCACGTCAACTCAGGAGCCAATATATCCGTTGTGTCCCTCCAACACACTCCGAAAATTGTCCTCAATCCCTTTTTATGTTTAACCCACTGGAGTGGTTCCACCACCGACCTCCGATTGTGTCGTCGGTTTCGACGAGTTTTTCGCTACCGCAGCAGTGAGTCGCCCAATCACACGCTTTTGCATTCTCCTCAGTCCTATTCAAAGTTACAAAATTATAGACGGCAAATTGACTTTGTTTAGCCTTAGTGCAGAAACACCCAGACCTTATTAACCCAACACACAGGCAGGCCGAAATCCGTCTCAAGGTCACGCACAAAATCTTGTCAAAAGGTTTCCTCGTTAACGCCCCCTCTGTGTCCACAGTCGAATAACCCATAAATCTATCCTGGATTATACTTGGAAGCTTACGCAAACACCGCAAGTCCCCTGTGAATCATTCACCTTGCTGTACAAAGTCTCGACCAATAGAAGCGCGCTGAAAATCCCGGTCCAGAGCTAGAAGACTCAACTAACCAATAAGCGACCGCGTCTCCGTCACCTTCTGTCATCTCATTGGTCCCTGTGTACTCAGTGTCCAACAGTTGAAGTGTGGATTTAAGACCAACTATTGATGATGATCTTAGATAACAACTGGCTTAGATTTTTGTTTACCAACACCTGAAAGTCGGTTGACGTGGTACTTAGACAAAGTGAGCCGCATATACTCGTAACGATTCGTTGAGGTTAACTCGAGTACGTTTCTAGGAGATATAACTAAAATTACCTTCTTGTCAAAAAAAGTTAACGCTGTAGTATTGAGTTATCCCCTAGGAGCATCGCTTATCAAAAGTAACTTCCCAAATATAAGTAATATAGTCGTGTCCAGGCAGCAGCTGCCATAACCAGATGTAAATTTTTTGACATTTTCTCAGGTTGTAACTAATTTTTAAGCAAATGTTTAGGAAAACTTCTTTGCCTCACAGCGATAACTTACGCGGACGTTTTCGTTGTGTAGAACGCAGTGTAACTTGTGACGACGCCTATCAAATATAGCCGATTCGCTTTCAATTTCGGTAGCAGTGATAGTGGGAACGAAATTTTGTTTCAAGGTCGAACTGCTTTGGGTGCAGATTGGTATCAAGCTGTGTTTGTTTGTTTTTTTTGGCTAAAAGCTTTTTAAGTAGAAGACGCTTCAGGTATACCTACTGTGGTAAAATAACAAATGCTTGTTGCTACTCAACTGGCCAATCGAATATCGCCAAAATTCAAAATGGCCTCCTCTTAACCGTCTAAAGCTGCATAATATATTTCTAAAAAAATTATTCAGGCGATGTGAAACTTGTCGACAGAATTCAATGCCTGATAAAAAATTAATAACACTTAATTATTTCAACAAATTTAGATGATTTCTGCAACGTAATCCGTCGACTTAAAAGCGATGAGTTATTGGTAGTACACATGATTCCCATGAAAGATGTTATCGCTATTCCACATTACATTTGCATAATATTTTATCCAACCTACACAGGAAGACTGTGTTGTTCAGGTTAGATTTAGCGCAAGCCTATTATCAAATCCCTGTAGAACCATCTGACATTTTAGAGACGGCTATGGCCAATTCGTGGGAATGCCCTTTGGTTTAAACCTTTCGGACTAGACTTGGTATTCTCGAATACCGAAAATGTCCTCACAGCTTGTGAGCATCGAGAGGAGCACCTGAAACACCTTGAGTTTGTCTTCTGGCTTCTCAATGACTGCGGTTTAATAATCAACTCGACAAAGTGCGTTTTTGGGAGATTCACAAAACTCCTCAACATGACAGTCGGCCATGCTTGACCATCTGCTCATCCGCGTCAAATATAAACGCCTTGTCCGACATTCAACTCTGAAAGACGACAACATAAGTGCCATTTTTAATGGGGTTAGCACGTGCCACCTTCCAGTTGCTAATTGCGGCATTTTAAAGCATGAGCGAAATGTAATTTTTTCAGTAACCACAGCCACTAAATTAGGGAACGCATGCCTTGGGTGTTAGGGCCAAGAGAACCCAATTCAACACCCTTGATTTACACAATGACGTGCCAAATATCCCTAGTCCATAGACACTTTGGAAAGGATCGTCCCATCACTGTACCGAAAATGGGATCTCCGTTGGGCAGCTTGCAGACCATTTGAAGCCAAGCCTTCCCCTAAGTCGAAATTGACCACATCTTCAGCGAGATGATGTGGAACTCACTATACTTAGTAGCAATGTTAACAGCAGCGAAAACCCTAATTATCTCGTCCAACGCTATTATCAAATTTTCCGTGTGTTTGCTTAATCGTTCTTCTTCCTTTTCATTTGTCACCGTCTCGCATATTTTTAGTTAATAATTCACCTCAGCTAAAACCCCTCTCGTCTTCGGCGTAAAATGAATTCCACGTTTAATCTCTGCGTCAAGTTTTTGTGAAGGGAGACACAAGCGCGAGAATTGTCAAAATGAAACGATTTCATCAATTTTGTGATATATACAACAAATCTCTCCCTCGTTGTCGATTGATTCATTTGTAGTTAGCCGACAGTTAAATAAACTGCTCACAAACATTCACAAGATTACTGATGTTTGCAAACTGAATCCAGATCAGTGACCATGAGACAATGAACTTTCCTTGCCTGTGAATCAAAGACTGTCTCTTCGTTCCATGGGTTCTGCGGGTGACCACGAACAGAAGAGCAGGAAATTACCAGGGCTTTTATAGTCTCAAATGAGCGACTACCTCATATAACTGCTTCTATGATGACTTTCTCTCGAGTTACTAAAACTAACAGCACTGAACCCATTCAGCTGCTAGAGATGAACTGTACTTTTTTGATTTGGGATGAGACGCTATTGATGTTTCTTTTTTATGGAACAATTCATTAATCTGCTCAATTTTAAGGTAGAAAAATTGCAGTTTAAATAAGCGAACCATTACTTACCAAAGCCAACATTTGCGCTAAGATATTTATTATTATTAAACTTAAGGGATTAAAAATTACTTTTGATGGGTTTTAATAGATTATTTGATTGCGCATTTCTTGCAATTTATATTTTACCTACTTTCCTGCAATCGTATTTTTTAGGTTAAAATGATGCATTTTTACTGTCTACTTGTCCAAAGTGCCTAAATCAACCAAGGAATATTTCATTGTTAGGTCATTTTACCAGTACACAAGCGAAATAGCTATAAAACATTTTATCGACTTATTTTAGATTAAAAGTATGCAAGTTATTAAGTTTCAACAATTTACAAGTTTGGACCTAGATGAAATCTTGTTAGCTAACCGCTATTGCTGATTATTCGTTTAACTCATAAAAGTCGATTTGATTAAACACTTTCCTTATGTTAACGCTGAAAGAGACTTAAGATAATAAGAATCCATTAGTGATTCCAGAAAATGATAGAATAATTTAGAGGCTCTATCCTAGAAGAATAAATTACAGGATTTCCAAATTTGCCATAAAAAATGAAGTTTTTGAAATTTGAGTATAATCAATTAACGAATAATAGAAGACCACTTTCTTTTCAATACAGTCGAAATTGATAAACTACTGGTGCTTCTATCCATTTCCTGTATATTCGAAGCCCCTTTAAATTTTCTCTTTATGCAGCGTTTGAAGGATTCAACATTGAGACCGCGTTGTATAAGCCGCCTAATGGGTTGCTGTATTCTGGTGTGGTATGATGTTAACATAACCAGTTCCTGTCAGGATATATAATCCTTAACTTATTAAACCTTTTACAAAACTCCCTATTTTTAACCTATACCTACTTTATCAGGGTCACCTTTCAAGTAGATACTCCACTCAAAATGTCCCCGAATCCTAGTTCACCACTGTTTTTGTGTATAGAGGAAACCGGATTTTCTTGTTCTCAGCCTTTTAACACAATTTTCTTGGTCATAATAATTTACCGGTAGCATATGATACAGTTTTAGCATTGATATTTTCACTACTACAGCTCTTAATAAAGAACATTTTAGTATAAACGATATACGACAATCCTCCTTTTTAGCCTTACCAAAGATACTTGATGTCCAAGCGTGTGTTGCTCTTTATACTAAGAAATTGCAGCTTGACCTTTGTCTTCCAAGCGTGATTTGCCCATGATTTCCGTTTCGTTTTTAGAAAATCCTATTGCAACACTTGTAAAATGGAACCCCTTGATACATTGGATGAAAAACCAAAGATTTTCTTGATGGGACTTAGGGGGTACCTTTTGCTATATGATGCTAATGTCGCAATGTAGGAGTGGAAAATCGTCAATACAGAAAGTTGTTTTCCACAAACTCACTCCCGCAGAAACCCTCTATCTGGAAAGCACAAACAAAATTGAGAAAAATGGTTGGTCTCATTATCTATTCTTTTAATTCTTCTAATAATTTTGTAATTATTTCTTGCTTTTTCGTGTTCCAGATATTTCCGACTGTTCATTCATTAAATTTCAAATATGGGATTTCCCGGGGCACATCGATTTCTGCGACCCAATGTTCCTCTCCGATGCTATATTTACTGAATCTTGCGCTATCATTTTTGTTATCGACGCACAGGTATTTCACGTCAATTGCCCTTGTGGTTTACTTATTATCAGTGCTTCTCAACCTTAAATTTCTATTATTCTCGCTAATTCCATAGTGTTACCTCGTCCTACTGTATTTCAGCACCACCTGTACTTGTCCTCCTTTAGGCATTGTAAATTTTAATTCGCGCAACTTAGAATGAAGTGGCGACTTTATTATTTTTCATTATGGTGTGTATGTGAATCCTTGTTTTCTTCAATGCTTAGTTTGGCCAACTAGCTTTATTGTCTAGTTTTTTTGAAAAAAAAAAGTAGGACGTGTTTGTGCACGCCGATTTGACGCCCTGAATTTAGCCAATCACAGTTTTTTGGCTACTTATGTTGGTTTGTGCTTAGGAAGCAATTGTAAATTGGAATTTTGTCTGTCATGATTTATTTGCTAGATGATAATTTGGAGTTTTATCTAGTAGCGCGAATGTCATTGTTATTGCTTCTAAACTTCCCTTCTCGTTTTTCTTAAACACTATCCAGGATGACTACTTATCAGCGTTACACCGACTCAATTCAACTATCGAATATGCCCATAAGGAAAATCCAAACATCAAGTATGAAGTGTTCATCCACAAAGTGGACTGTCTGTTGGAGGACCAGAAGATCGAAATCCAACGAGACATTGCCCAGCGCGTGAACAACATCGTGGATGACATTGTCTCCACGCACAACGCAAACGGTGGTGGATCATCTGGCGTCAGCATTGGGTGCGTCTATGCTTCTACCTCTGTTTGAATTTGAACCCACTTAAGCCCCTCTTAGTACCTCAATCGAGTAGAGTTAATCGTAGGAGCAATTTGTTTCTTTGTTCGCAACCCCCACGATCGGTGTACTTTTTGCAAGTCTTAAAAGTTTCATGTTCTCGCCAAAATACCTGAATTTTCGTCGGCCGAATTATGTCGACTGAATTATTGTAGCTATAATTTGCAGCAAAATCTTTTGATCGTGTAAACAGTTCTGCAGTTTAGTAATAAGCAAGGTGTGTTTTGGTGAATCTGGCATTTTCTACCTCTGAGTGAAGCAGATTCTACTAGAAAAAAAATCCTAATTGTCTTCCCTTCCTCCTCTCCCACAACGACTAGCTTTCATCTCACAACCATCTACGATCACTCCGTCTTTGAGGCGTTCAGCAAGGTGGTGCAAAAGCTCATTCCCTACTTGGACGCATTTGAGGACCTCCTGAACATCTTCATATCGGTGAGTCGTGGTCACGCCAGGTCGTTTTCAGCTTCTTTGCACGTCAACTATGCTCGTGGCTTCGCAAATCCATTTTGTGAAACAAAAGGTCTTGTGATCATTTGTTTTTCGTCTAAGCCTATTCTCAATGAAGTGATTTCGCTTGTCATTTCATTAATACACCATTGGTTAGAACGCTATTTCGTTTTTGTTAATTACCAAACTGTATAAATGTAGGTATTTCAAATGAAAATGAGGTGTGTTATAGCTGTCGTTTACGTGTAGTGAAGTTTCAGGAACAATTGGATAAAGCTCGGGAAAGGGCTTTGCAGGAGGGTTAAAAACATGGGTTTTGGTCTATCTAAACTTGTTCCCCACTTTAACCTAAATGCGTCGGAGGTACACGCCCTTGTGCCTCATTCCTGTTTACGGTGTTTACGTGTGGTGAGGTTTCAGGAACAAAGTCTTTTCGGCGTGCCATGGCAACGTCTTTTATTTGGTTACATTAACTCTTTGTTCGATCGCTTCATCTAGGCGTAAAAATAACTAATTTCACGAGGCTATTAAGTGTAGCGAGTTCCACATCATCTCGCTGAAGATGTGGTCAATTTCGACTTCTGGGAAGGCTTGACTTCAAATAGCTTGCAAGCTGCCCAACGGAGATCCCATTTTTGGTACAGTGGTGGGACGATCCTTTCCAAAGTGCTTATGGACTGAGGAAATTTGACACGTCATTGTGTAAATCGAGGGTGTTGAATTGGATTCGTTTGGCCCTAACACCCAAGGCATGCGTTAATCGCTGCAATCAACGTTCAACAACTATAATGTTGCACGTGACAACGCCATCAAAAATGGCACGTTTGTTGTCGCCATTTTTCAGAGTTCAATGTTGGACAAAGTGTTTATATTTTTGACGTGGATGAGCAGATGGTCAAGCATGGCCGACTGTCATGTTGTGGAGTTTGCAGAATTTCCGTAAACGCACTCTGTCGAGTTGATTATTAAACCGCGGTCATTGAGAAGCCAGAAACCAAACTCAAGGTGTTTCAGGTGCTCCTCTCGATGCTCACAAGCTGTGAGGGCATTTTCGGTATTCGAGAATACAAAATGCAGGCCCGATAACGCATAATGACTAAGTAGCCGAAAGGTCTAAACCAAAGGTCTATAGCTGTCATTAAAATGTCAGATGGTTCTACAGGGATTTGATAATAGGCTTGCGCTAAATCTAACCTGGACAACACAGTCTTCTCGTGTAGGTTGGATAAAATATTATGCAGATGTAATGTGGAATAGCGATCAGGCATAGTGATTGATCTTAAGAATGATATCAATACTTGGGAATCTTTTGCAGAGTTCAATGTTGGACAAGGCGTTTTTATTCGACGTCGCGAGCAAAATCTACTTGGCCACCGACTCAACGCTGGTCGACATGCAAACGTACGAGCTGTGCTGTGATATGATTGACGTAGTGACCAACATCTCCTCCATTTACACGTAAGTCTCCCCGCCACTCGGTAGTTCGGGCAGCTATGCGCTGTCGTCCGTGATCGCAGCCTCACTCCCGCACTCTCGTTGTAGCCCCCACCAAGAACTCACTGACCCTCCGTTCTCCGAGCAGACGTCGTCCACAATCGTCCTGAACAACGACACTGTCATCTACCTTCGCGGCATTAATCGCTACATGGCTTTGGTGTGCCTGCTGCGGGAGGAATCGCTGGAGAAACTAGGTTTGTCCTAACCCCTCTCTGTTCCCACTGAGGCCTCGTAGCTAGTTGCGAATTGCCACTGTGCATTTCTACACAGGTATAATTGAGTACAACTACCAAGTCGTGAAGAAGGGCATCCAGCGCATGCTGAGCGTGAATCAGCAGGCAGCGAAGACGCTGAGGTCCAGTCGGAAGGTCTCCGACGCACCCTCCGACCCACCACCACCAGACTCCGCCACCAACGGGACGTGCGAGCCCCTGGCCTAGGGCGCACGCCACCCCCTTCCTCATCGCTCTCCTGCACTGCTTTGTATGATATTGGCCCCCCCTGCCGTGTGCTTTCACACGAGGCTATTTCTACCTGATTTGCCCCCCTTAAGCCCCTTTCGATAGTAAATAACACGTACAATCGGGCATGGTTTTGAGTAGCATCACAAGTCGTTAGCGTAGTCGAGTGGCTATCATCACAATGTCGGCGCTACGTGCACAGTAAGCATCATAACCTAGCAGAAGGGAAACATTTAATAGCAGTGTTGGAGGCGCTAATTGGGGTTTTCGTTGGTGTATTTGCGTCTTGTGTCTAGACATGAATGTAAAATGTTGTAAATAGCGTTTCTTTTATCAATGCGCGATCTCCAGGTGGTGTCCTTACGACGTGTGTTGCGACTTGAGCCACCTCGCCTCCAATGCTACCAGGCTAATGCCCTGTCCTACAAAGCAGGAAAAGGCATAGTTAGTGGCACGAGTTCCTTCTGGTTCACAACAATCAGCGCCTTGCACGTCTAGACATGAGGTTCAAATAACCGTAGAACAACACCTATTATTCGTTCACAGTCGTAGGAGCTGGCGACTTCTAGCGAACCCAAACTGACCACGTCCATCGAATCTTCATGTTGCAAAACATCATTACGAAGACAGCATTTCAAGCAACTTAGCGCTCTGCAAATGGAGCGGAGATGCCAGTTGGGGAGGTTCAGAGCCGTCACTTGGAGTAAATAGACCGGATGTCGCAATGGGAGCAAGTGTTTAAAAAGAAATTGTGCGTTTGTAGATGTGGTAACCTAGACACTGTCAGACCCCACCGTTGGTGGACACCCACAGTCCCTGATCCACGGACATCGAGTCAGTGTTATTGACTCGGATCAGTGTGAATGATGTTCGGAAGTGGTTTGACCGCTAGCCCAAGAGAGACAGCGTTGCTGGATGTGCACCAGAAATGACCAAGTCATTAGATTTTGCTAATTCTCGCGCTTGTGGCCCCACTCCTACGGGTCAAATGGAGAACTAATGGTACGCCAAAAGCGAGGCGGAATATCAACTAGACAACTGTTAGGCGGCGACGAATGAAGAGAAAAAGGCAGGTGAACAAAGAGACGCAGGGAATTACACGGGGAGCACTTGCCGTTAGCTTAATGAAGACGACGACACCAGGTCCTCGATGGCCTCGTCGATTACTTCGTTGTAAATTTCGAGAGCAGTGGACTGGAGTATTTCCCGTCGGGCGTTGGCAGCCAGCTGCAGGTTGTTCACGGCCAGCGTGACCATTTCCTCGATGATCCAGCTGACCACGCTGTAGGCGAGCTTGGGGAAGCAGAGGTTGACCAGCGCCTCGGTCATCAGGTGGCGACCCAGTTCCCTGTACTCCGTGTGTCGCTGAGAGACTGCCTGCAATGTGGTTACAAAAAGAGAGCAGCCTGAGTTTGGTGCACGATTTTGGAGATTGCCATTTGAGAAATCGGCAATTGAACTTGATGCCTAAGTCTACACTGAGATGCTTCATTGCTGATGCCATGTGAATAATGAGAAGCGTGTTCCATTTATCTAAGTCCGACTTAGTGGGCTCAGACACTAGCTTGTGTGCTCGTAATGAGGTGGAAATGACTGCAAATCTCCGTGCGAACCAAGTACGGTTTTAAAGAACTTGGTTACAAAATGGTGGCCTGAGATGACAAGTTGTACCAAACTGGGTATGACTCACAGATCTAGCTCCAAGGCGTGACGAAGGCTAGGAATGCTTCAATAGTGCCGAAATGCTCTAGGGACTGCTGTTGTAGGCGTCGAAACTCATTTTACAGAACACAATGGAAAGCATTATGCATCTATAATCCCCTTAGTAAGAATCCGTAAGTCTAAATTATAGCTAACGGCTTCTAGTACTGTGACTGAAGCTGCTGCGATCGCCTTTAATGAAGCATTGTTCTAGCCTGCTAGTTCGTGAAGCAGCGCGGAACGCATTCATTGGTAGCAGCAAAGCAGTCATCACTCTTCGTCGATTCGTTTTAAAAAATGCCAAAATTGTCATCACTTTCAATCGGAGTTCCAGCAAATCGCCTTGCCTGATGCAGAAATTTTGTGTCCACTATCTTCGTTTAGTGCCATCGCTACATTAGTTCCCAAATAAGCTGTAACACGCCGTCAGTCATGCTAGATAATCCTTCTGTTTCAAGTTACTCTTTTGAGCCAGGGGAGAGAGATAGAGGCCTAGCCGTTTATTCCATGTCTCGACAAAATCATGCTATAGATGCGTGAATGTGTGCGGCTAATGCAGCTGTTTACCAAAACAGCTTGTTTTAGAAGTGAATCGCGTTCATTTAACTCAAATTAAATGTGTCCAACACAAGCATAGTTGGACATGGTAAGGTTTTTTAAATTGAGGCTGCCAAAGGCATGAAGCTTGAGGTAACTAAAGTAGGCGACGGTGTACCAAACTGGATATTCAACCGAGTGCTAGTCACAGGAAATAAGGAAGATTAAGACGTAGGAAATGGTGAAGAATTTGCTGTTGGAGGCATCTAAACACCGTTTTATGGACAATGAACCCTGTCAATTGGTGTCGTAAAAATACAATGGCAATTTTTCCAATCGGTTCGGATCTTTTTAACTAGACATAATTCGGTTACCTCGTGTATAACACCATCGACTAAAAGGCGGGCACTTCTCTCGAGTCGGTTCCTCTCAAATAAGGAGTCTAGAATCGGTTTCAAGAAGTTCTGTTCGATTTCTAAAACAAACAAAAAATGTGTGTGTTATGTAGTGGTCACTCCTGTTATGCCATCAAATTGGCAGCGGAATTCGTGTGAAATGTGACCACAAATGCAGGTCTATGCGATAACTCCTGTTACTACCAAAATAGCCGAAGGCGCTATCCACGGAACATTGGCAAGGAGGAGGTAGTGGGGTCTCTGAGTGCAATGCCGACTCTCTGAATTCGGGCAAATGAAGCTTAAATCATCAGAAAGGCAGACCGTGGAAGGAGTGGAGAGGAGGTAAATTATTCTGTGGACTGGGGTCTAGAGCTGCAGTGCTCGTTCCAACTCCGGTGGGCCGTGATTCAAAATCTCGTCGCTTCACAGCAAATGGACTAAGCCAAGTCCAGAAGAGCTCTTCGTGGAGCACAATTTGGCGAACACAATTCAATCGATTTTCGTGATTGCTCTTCACATAGTTACCTCCGTTCAGAAATCGATACTCAGCGAAGCTATATAAAGCGCCTGCTATTCTATATACACACACACACATCTACTGTATCAATAAATTGGTTGAGCTACGCGCCATCAGCATTCTCACCTCTTTTTGTCGGTCGGGCCTTGTCGGCCCTGGTGTGGTCCTTCAAAGCCGCATCGGGGCGCGCTACAATAACAGCGTTTAGCACAATTCAGCCAACTTTTCGTGCTTTAAGCGACCAAGTATCCCAGATTGAAATGCATGCACTTCGCACGTATCCGACTGACCCCTGATGACCTTCACGGCACCTCTTTGTGCATTTTGCCTTTACGTGCATACGCGAACCGACACAACCAATAAAAATTAGTCTTCTAGGTGAGTAGACTATAAAATCCATAATTCACATGCCTTCACAAGCGATGAGCACAAATCGATAAAAACAGGTCCAGTTTGCCCATAAATTTTGACCCCGTATGAAACACCCACACGATTGCTGAACTTAGGTTAATTTTTTTATATAAATACAAGGGTGGTTTGTGTACGGTCACAATCACACACCGAAATACAATTGGTGTCGTATCGGGAAATTTTTCACGCAAATTCACTTTAAACCCTCGGTCAATGCTTGGTTAAGTGAATTCACCTAGACTCAGCTTTACTCACACACGCCGCCTAGTAATGCCAGTTTACATGAGGCTTACTAACCTGATTCAACGCTGTCATAGAAGTAGCCGCGTTCGGTGAGCTGTTCAAAGACATTTGGAAGCAATGGTTCCAGGTAGGCTTTTGTGAAATTGCGGGCCGCAACCTTGTCGGCAGCCAGCCGTCGCATCGACGCAGCCAGCGTCGCCTGGGCCTTCCGCCGTGTCTGTTCTTCCCTGTGCGAAAAAAAAACGGCCGGGATGTAGCAATCATTGTGACCACAAACCAAGTCTAACGAATACTCATCTGCGTGCAACTGAAGCAGCTGAAAGAAGCCTTCAATTCAACACCAGACAGCCTTCTCTCTCGTCGAATTCGCATCGCATTGGTACTACCCCACTGCAAGCAACTGACACTACGCAAAACTTCAACTCATTTCACTACTATTCGAAACTGAAATCTACTCTATTGGTTTAATGCCAGACCTGTAGCGACGGTTGCGTTCCTCCAGGCGTTCGATCTCGGCGAGGTGGGCGTTGTGAATTTCCAATTGCACGAACTGTTGCTTGCGAAGTTCCTGCAGTTCCTCCTCCTCCGCCACCTCAACCAACGCCTGTTCCATCGTCTTCCCGGTCAGCACTTCAAGAACTGGTTTCACCTCAATTTCGAAGTCGAAGAGCTTAAAAGACAGCAAAGAAAACGTAAAAAACATACGCCTTGACTTGATGTGCAGTACTTGTATTCCCCTTATTGAGGTTTCTGCTAATCCATCACGCATTTCTTGTTGCGTAGAATCATAGATAGAGACCGTGTACCGACTGTTTAGTCTTGGTGAATGAAGACTCAACGGGCGTTAGCTGAATAGAAAGTGGTTCCAACCAAACCTACTAGCTACTAGGCACTCGTAATTGTCTGGGAATCATGACGGAACGTCGCAAAACAGACCTCACACAGCTCCACTTGCGTTGCCACATCGAGTCCGGTTTTGGCAGGCACGAAAGGCGGAGTCGGGGGTCGAACCATGAACTCATCTGTCTGGCTCCAGAAGTTGTCGAGTTGCACCGGTTCCGCGATCTCCTCTAAATGCTGTTTAAGGTTGACAGGCTGTCCTGACCTACCATAAACCAAGTCTAAAAAGCGACGTTCGTTGATTCTGAGTGGAGCAGGAGGGGGGCTCGATTGTTGGAAAATAAAAAAAACACTAGTGTTCAGTTTACAAAGAACCTCGTCATTGTGGAAACGCTGCTTAGCAACCTCAAATGTCCTACCGATGAAACTAACGGCGCCACTGACATGCAGTCACCGAAATAACCAATTACAGACGCGATTGTGGGTGTCAGAAAGGACGCAATATTCTGGCCAAATGGACTACTGTGGACAGTTTTTCGCCAAGTAGTTACAACACAAAATTGCCTACAATTTCTGGGACCGTTGAACCATTACTCCCGTCAAGCCTAGGAGTTTGCACCCAATGTCTGACACTACCTTGGTGGAACTCAGATGTTATGAATCTCGCTCAAAGTCGTTGTTTATTGGAGGGCTGGACAGTGTTGAAGTGGGTACGTCCGGAAGCCGTAGGCTTCTTGACCCTAATTATCTGATGAGGCGATCTGTCTAACGTGCCTAAACTAACTATTTGAAGTACACACCGGCACCGTGAGAGCATATTGATTAGTTATAGAAATTCGATAAATGTGGCACCTACTAGAACCTCCAGCGCAGCTCTCCGAACCATCAATGGACTTGGGCTCCCTCGAGGCAGACCTCTGGGTATTTACAACCCGTCTGGACCTCCACTTTCCGAGGGTGCCGTCGCAGTCGGGAGGGCCCGGGGGGGCGGTTGTCTCCAAACACGATTCCTGTCGGGAGTTCAGCAGAGCGACCGGTGGACGTCTACAAACATGAATGTGGGAAGGTGACACTCTGATTGAGTTTGTTTGGTCGCTGGAAGTAACTCTTACTACCAGAGACTATGCACATGTTGAAGGCGTCTTTAGAAACCCATCTCGTTGCAGAACAAAGTTGTTTGTAATGAAGCGAGATGTCAGTTCGCTCGATTCTATTTCAAGTGGCAAATTGAAGAGGTGTATTCCATTCGTCGTTCCATCCGTTTGACTTATACAAACGTGTTCGTCACAGATCGTGGTGCGCTCTCACTGCCATCACCAAGGAATTCGACTCTTAGACGGTTTGCGACCTTGATTGCTGCGACAGCAAGAACGAGCCATAAGATATGCCTGCTTACTGCACCTGCGCAAGCCGAACACAATGTCGAAGAACCATGAAATTTCCTTCTTTCGATCCTTTTCACATGTTTCAGCTAACAACAAGATTCCACGCTCAAAATAGCGTAGTGGTGTGTGGAAAGCACTTTAGATAGGAGACAGGGTCTCATGTAGGAAGCTAGAATTCTTCGTGGTCTAGCTGCCACAATGAAAAACAACGATTCAGTGACGCGAAATGCTGGCGCCTCACTTGAAAGTATTGTTTGTGACGGGCGCCATTCGACCCACGCACGCCGGTCTGGCCTGTTCTTTGTCCTCCTCTCCCCTCCCGTACACTCGCCTTCCTCAAGGCACGCCCGTGAGTCCGAGGGCAACGCCGACCCACCTCGCGGCCATCCCTTTCCCCACTCCAACCCTCCCTAAGCTCTAGCCCTCTGAGTTTGCATACGGTAGTATGGAATACATCCGGTTCTTCCAGCTATTCTACTATCGTATGTCTGGTAGCTAACCATGATGGTGTGGCTATCTAAGAGGGACGGGCTAACAGTCACCTCCCTATTTAGGTTCCCGCTCAGTAGTAGGCGCGTTACACGTTAAGTATAACCACTGTCAACAGCATTCAAGTGTTAACTATCGGCTTTATAAAAACAAAGCCACTCATAGGTTAGGATTTGTTTTTGAAATGCCGGAAAGTTTATGGCATGGCGTTGGTAAACACTTTGCCTTCGCGCCACGTGACAGCAAGTCTTCCCAACTGAAATGTTTCATGCCAATTGCCAACACGTTAGGTTATTCCCTTTAACCTCCGCTGGTAACCAGACGTCGCGCAACCTTTTCATCCGAACCAGTTTCATTCCGACCTAACACCTCACCAAAATGTACGCCCTCTTTTGGCGTGAAGTTCAATCGCTTGATCACTTCATGTGCAAAAACGATGTCCCCCCTTAGCTTTCAAAACCCACGCGTCGAACTCCTCCCGATATTATAATCCTTTGTCACGTACAGATTCATCTCTCTAAGCCAATGTCCATACTTCAGCGACCTTAACTACAAAGTGTGTCCAAACGAAGGTAACCTTGAACCAACAATGCTGATTTACAGCAGGTATGACGAAAACTGAATACTTCAGGCGTCATTCGCTTTCGAACAAAAAACATTTACCACCAAACACTTAAATCACAGTATGTTCGAATGGAGTTCTTTTTCACTAGACGTAAATGGAATCATTAAACGAGACGAATCAGCAGCTATTCGGCATTACTGACGCCAGTGTAATCAAAGTCATAAACACAAGGCTTAAAAAACACCTGACAATGAAGGCCTCAAGCATGCGTCAGTTTCGTTTAAAATTACATGAGTAATCAGAGGACTATTCAACACATATTTACACACAATACGGCTTACGGATCATCGTGTCCGAGTGGCAAACGAACTGTCCTAGCAATGGGAAGACTAGCAAACGTGTAGACACCTCCGATATTTCGTCCGCAACTCCGCATGCCCTTTGCTTCGTTCGATTGGCATGCGTGTTTTAAGGCTCTCCTAAACACGTTGCCGGCGAGTGATCAATAGCCGCTTCAAGAACGTGACCTTGACACCGCCCAATCCGCCAAGTCCACGTGTTTATTGTACTTGAAAGGCTAGGTAATTTAAGCAAGTAATGGGATCACGGGTTGGTGATTCGATCAAGCCTCCCACCCACTGATTTTGGCTAAATCGGATTTACCTTTGTGGGATTTAGCTCATCATTTGCAATCTACCTGCAAATTTGACTGAAAAAAGGCCAGTTACATAGTCGATGTGGTCAGGATGATGAGTGTATTCACAAAGAACCAGCCTTCGGAAGAATTCTTCATGTAAAAGCGTTTACCTCAAACATTGGACGCGCTTTCATTGTGCATGTGGAGGTTTTCTGTCAAATTAAACAAGCGTGGCAGAATCTCCCGTTTGTCCATTTGAATTAGAATCGTCATTCATACGAGGTAACTATGCTAGACATTGACTCGTACTGCAAAGAGAGAATTCTCTGGCCGATATCTGCCTTGTAAATAGTGGAATCGATTAGAAAACAGGCCAAAATTGAGAGCCATGCCTTTTGCCAGCCTTCTAGTATGTACTTTACGCTGATCTAAAAGAGGTTTCTGCCGAGTTCGATGACACAACTACAGCCACGGGAATTAACACCGCTAAACGAATAACTATGTCTACGCTTGCGTTTTTCTTCAGCCTCAAAACGTTACGTCAGTAATTGGAACACGACAACAGCGACTCAGCTGACAATTGTAAAACTGTTGATGAAGGCACGAACGCCCGTGGACGTTCCAAGTCTAGGCGTTGAGCATCGAGGACGTGAGCCTCTGCGCAATACCGTCATCGACTGCCCAGCACGAGGTCAGCGCGAGGCAACACCTCAGTAGCCTTTTCTTGCTGTTTAAAGGCAGACTTAAATTTCCCGGCTGAGGTCTGAACCGTGTCGAAACCTATGATGTATGCCAGTTTTCAAAGACAACTTTTAACGTTCGAATATATTTTGGGCTAAATTTACGTCAGAGTCAATGAAAGATACCGCAGGTAAAAGTGCAAAGACAAATGAGATATCTATTTAAGAAATATAAACATTACATGGGACAAGGAGGGCAACATTTTCTGAGAAGGCTGCACGAATCCACAGCTCAAAAGCTTCACCCGGCTGCTTGAATTTTTCGGCCGCCATGCATTTCAGCTGGGAAAATGTGAGGACCTTGGCTTTACTGAAATCCTTTCCGTATAATTTCTTCTCTTTTGGTGCTATAGGACAGTGAGCGTTAGACGTAAAAGCACACTTACGGAGTGATGAAATGCACGAGTTTACAAGGGACCTAAGAATATCGTCCATCACATGAACTGGGTTGGATTTGGTCACGTGGCGCGCCTGCTGCTTTTCCTCTTCAGTTATTTGTGTGTCAATGAAAAGTAACGGCTTCTGTAGGACAAAATCTGTGAAATCTTCAATAGCGTCAACGAAAGAACTAGAGAAATGTGCCCATGCAAAAAACCTACCTTGTTTCGACTTCACTCAAATCTAGGTTGTGGCGTTCCCATGGGTGGCTCTCCGCGTCAGGCCACTCAAAGAGACTATCCATGCGTTTTATGACGGATTCGGGAACGCGGCAATCTCTGGTTGCATTTCTTTTAGTACACAATTCCAACGGGGTGCGAACACTGACAGTCAGATAGGCACACCTGCCTTCAAAATAAGTCTTAAGGCTTAAGCAACGCACATGACTTTGACAGCAGGAAACACTGTTTTCGCATGCTTCGGTAATAAAAGTTATCATCCAAGATAAGCACTGCAGGTAGGTTATCAGATGTGCTTGGTAGAAAGCGGATGTGGAACCCTGGGATTGGGGGAGCCCTTCCGCTTAATTTGTATTGACATATAAACTCCCGCAGATGAGAAAGTAGATCTAGCCTTTGATTCTTCCACTATTTCTTAAACATTTAACTTGTAAACCTACGTTGTTATCAGTGATATCACCAGACTTAAAAATAATATTATCATCAAATGGAATGTGGATGAACATAAACCTCGAGCCTCGAGTTACTAAATTACTTGCGACATAAGATTTCCCAGCACCGGGCAGGCCAGTAAGTAAAAGTAAAGCCCGGATTTCGCCACCGTCACTACCACACATAATGCGGGACTTTAGTCGGTTTTGACGACGTCTAAGGGCGCAGGCATATTGGACACTAACCTCAGCCAATCGTGTGTCTCCTTGCGTTTCAATGGCATGCAAGGAAGATAAGCAGCCAACCAGATAAGGACACGACTGCGGTACAGTATATAACGAGCGGCGTGACCAGACTGATAGACTCGAATGGAAGGCGTCTGACTTGTGATTCTGGCTTGTGATTGGTCGATAAAGCCTGATCTGTTATACCAGTCTTCTTCATACTAGGGCTCGGGTATTCTACAGTTGGACCAAGGGGCGCCGGCATATTGGACCACGCCAACGTTGAAGAGAAGCAACCAATCTAAGAAAGTAATGGATGTGAAGCTACTTGTATCGACCTGATCAACCAGTACAGTGTACTCGGATGGGCTCACGTGACAAACTAATCTTGTCTGTGGTATGTCAATTATGTCTATTCTCAGGTACCATTCTTCACACTATGGCACGGGAATTCAATGGAATTACCATTCGGGGTGCGGACATGTTGGGTCACTCCATGATCAGCCAATCGTGCCTCTCTGTGCATTCGGATGGTCTGCGTTTGAGATAGGCAGCCAAGAACAAGGACGAATAAGAAGCGACGTATAATGGGTGGTGCAACCTGTAGAATACCTGGGCCCTAGTATGAAGAATACTGGTATAACAGAACAGGCTTTAGTGATCAATTATAACCTTGCGTCAGACCATGTCCACTAGAGTCCTCCAAGTTCTCTCACCTGTGTCTGTCTCCGGTTGGCTGCACATCTTCCCCGCAGGCCCTTCAAACGCAGAGACAAACGATTAGCTGAGGTCGACGTGGTTCAATATGCTTGCATCCTTTTACAAGACTATAAGATGAACTCTTTTTGCAAGCGCCTGACTGACGGTTCTGGCTTTTTATTATCCAATAAATTCTGCTCTTTTTTATCTACATTTATCAGGCCAGGACTAATGTAACCTGCAGAAAATTTCCTTCTTTTTCGACATGTTGAAACGACCAATGAAGTTGCTCAATAACTGCCCTTCAGATTCTAAGGCTTGCCGAGATCTCATCACGGGCTATTGTGTCGCTGGTGTTTAGCCGGATACATGTCTTCACGCCAAGCTTTGCCAATCCTCTATTTGCGTGCATCTGAATAGTCTATTACGAATATAAGCAGCCTAGAGAAAAAAAGTATGTGGGAGAGGCGACGAAGGACTTAGATGAACAGTGCCTTATAGTTGGTTCAGCCTTTTAACATTTAAACAATGCCACCACTGTTGTACCTGTCGAATTTATAATAGTTCTTTGGAATTCCACACATGGTCAACCAGGCAAAATAGCGCCGACGAGAACGTTGGTGGGAGCAGCAGAATCCGGTAAACCAGCAACCCCATCGAAAACCATTCTCCTAATATTTGGGACTCGGAAGAGGACTTGTAAGAAGCCACGACCTTGGCGATGGCATAAGGATGCGACTGATTTTTTCTAATTTAATCAGCTTAGTTCATTGCTTTTGTCGGTTGTAAGGCTGTTATTACATTTTCATTTCCCACTTTTCTTATACAAAAGAGGTTAATATTATAATTGTACCAGGAAAACCGTCCAGATGGCGGCGTTTGAAAAAAAAGGTCTAATTTTCTGGTCAAATAAATGAGTTGTTTTCTGTCTTCCTTTCAATGTCCATGATGACGTTGGTGAGTGGCTATGCTGTCGCAGATTCACAAACCCGCAGAAGTCATCACATGTGCTTTTTAAGTCAGAGGGAGCATTTAATGTTGATCGAATGGCTGGCTGCAGATCACAGTTTCATTCCGTATACTTAATGAAACTGTAAACTGGTCTCGATCGCAGCCAACATGTCCTCCTTTTTTAAGGATTTGTCCCGTAGTGGCAGTAATATCATTGATGGCTATCTTGCCGATGTTCTCCATTTGATAGTCCGTTGGACCAACCTTGAATTCTGGAGGATATTGTTACCAATTGGTTGCTGAATTTAACGCTTAATCGTGGTCTGATGCGCAACTCACTTTTCAATGAGATGATTCCGCCTCATCGTCTGCTGTATATTATGACCACCTACAATCTCTGGTATTTACGTGACAGTTAAAACCCACCCCGCCTCCTTGAATTAAGGACACGCTTTTCCTAGTTCTTCTACTAGTGGAGTTTCTCTTTTAGTGAATACGAGGAACTATCCCAGTTACTAACAGTGTAGTGAGTCGTGTTGATTCATGTGCAATAACCCAGTCGTCGCAGCTTCCAACACACGTCCCCCTTTCCACGTGAGGCCACTGGTTCATTAACCACTGTGCATGTGCCACCACCACCCGCTTTGGTCATGTGACCTCACAGACGCCTGTGTTTATTTTTGTACATGTCCACTAAACTACATCAGTAACCACACACAACTAGGTTGAGCTGACTAGTAAACGGTTGTGCCTCGTCCTCTCCGGTCTTCTTCATCTTAGCGGGTACTCGGTGTAGGGTAATCGGACTAGACTGACGCAGTGGCGCCGGCCTGGTTCAAAATAACTTGCCAGGACCCTCAACAACAGGTTCAGATGCAACATAAACCATTTTGTATCTGTGGGTTCCTCACACTTATGTAATTTTCTTTAGTTTATGCCTCTGCTTTTGGCCTGGCGGCTAATGAGTGGATTGTATGTGGGTTACAGTGCATAGATTTTCCACCAAACATGCCGCACTCCCATGTTCCAGAGTTTTAACCAGGTTCAACCCTCTCGTCATTACACTTGGTTGTTGAGTTCACACGTTGTACACGTAGTTCCACAAATATTAGGCCGTCAGATCCCGTCTTCCTTCCCTCAACTACATCTCGCTTTCACGGATTAAGACGATTCGCCTTCCTAAACTGTGATGGCATTCGTTCTTCGCAAATACACAGTCTGAAGTATTTGTCTTCCTCGTATGAACGCAGTCTTCAAGGAATTCATATTCATAAAGGTACATTTTTATGTACACGCTCTCTATATGTATGTCTACTGCGTATTGGCAAAATTCCAAGAAAATGTTTTTGGGAAGGATTCAGAAAATCCCAAACCCTCCGCGTCACGTTCAATAAGGCTAATTGTGAAAAAAGTCTCCACATCCAACTTTAGACACTTAAGGTTCATCTTCACTTTTCTGCAATCTTGATTAAACTCAGGATGCTTGCTTGTTGAGGTTGACCTGTTCTAGCTTCATGTGTAGATCAACAGCAGCTGCGATCACTCATGAACGCACAGAGTTAGGTGATGTCAGTAGCTCTCTGGCTGTTCTTATGCTAAATCACTTCCACAATTGTGGATTAACTTTGATGCCTTCTACACAAGTTAGAAGGAATATTTTGACAAACGCGCGCATCGTGAATCCATGAATGAAGTCGTTTTGGTTGACTATGAGAACAATGTCATTGATGATGCAGTGGTCTCTAGAATCCCTGGGATGGACCATATGCTTCTTGATTACGAGACTTTTCAGCCGTTGTTTAAAAAAAACGCCATGTTTTTCATTTCAGTGGATGCAAATAATGCAGTAAGTCTAAATAGGAAATTTTCGAGGTGTACATCGACTGAGATGCTTGTAGTAGTCTGTTAATTTCTTAGTGTAACCAATAACCTCATTATCCAATGAACAAACGGCTACTATTTGAGGTGGAGGGGGATTCAACTTGAGTGATTTCGAGCCAGATAATTTAATGAATTGACATAGCAATATCAAGTAAAACTAGACAAAAATGATGATCAAGATGATCTACAGGAAGCAATAATCAGACGCACTTTCAGGTTCCTAGGACATTTGGAAGCACTTTAGTGGCGGCCATGAACATGGGCCATTTCTACAAGACACGCTAATGCCTTAATCAACGCACTGAGACTAGACCCAGGGTATGGGAAATACGTTTCATCGGACGTGTCAGTTCACGTCTACCACCACCGTATTTCCTCACAACTTCATGATTCATCGTTCGAAAATACCCGAACCATATTATGGGGAAGGCAGGTGTAACGAGCAGGACTTTGATGGTACACACAGTTCAGGGCTTCTTGAAAGCCGTGTCAGCGCTGTGTAAAGGGGTGTAGGGATTCGTGTGGAAGCATGTCCAATAACCCGGTCCTCGTAGCTTCCAGCACACGTCCCCCCTTTCCACGTGAGGCCACTGGTTCATTAACCACTCTGCATGTTCCACCACCACCCGTTTTAGTCATGTGACCTCACAGACACCTGTGTTTATTTTTGTACATGTCCACTAAACTACATCAGTAACCACACGCAACTAGGTTGAGCAGACTAGTGAACGGTTGTGCCTCGTCCTCTCCGGTCTTCTTTATTTTCGCGGGAACACAGGGTACCTTAGCCGGCCTAGATCGTTGCAGTGGCCCCGGCGTGGCTCTAGACAACATGCCGGGGCCCTCAACATGGGCCTCAATAAGTGTAAACTTGTGTGTGTTCAATCACCGATTCAGAATGTTCCGGGTTCTGTTGCATAGCAACTTTCAGCAAAATAGAGTGCGTCGGAAACTCGGACTTTAACAGAAGGCACGGAAAAGACAGGTCATGTTCATGTCCAGTGATGTGGGAGGGAAAAGCCGTTCGATTACCGACAAAACCAGGGGCAC